GTGAAGTTTGGAGCTTTTCGTCAGTTATCGTTGTATCAAAGTTTGATCCCAGTTGGGTCTGTAATTTCTTAATGTCAATAAAATCAGTCTGGGTCATTTCAATTAACTCAAAAAAAGGCTTATTAGGTTTTGCATTCTTGATTATGTCGGTATACGTGGCAGGGGTGTAGATCGGACTTTTTTTAGTATACTTTTTAACGGCTTTTTCGATAAGGGAATGTGCCGAATCCTCTTCATTTTGTGTGTGGCCGCGTATTAAGAATTTGTGATTGATTGTTTTTATGTTAGGCAGTTTCTGCACAGCGTACAAAAACATTGCACTTGTATATTTATTTTTATTTTGGCCAGTGCAATTAACGGAGTAAAATGTTACTTTAATATTATCCGTTATTAACAATCGAGCTGCCAAAGTCAATAATTAAAACAGTCACAAAATAAAATACGACTCTTTGACAATAAGAGATTTCATCAAATACCGATTATATATTCAAAAACACTGTCATATCACATAATAGGCCACTCTTGCGTATTGAAATTTCGCTATCATGAAAGATATGTGTCACAACATTAGGTTATGACTGTTTATATTACTTACCTCGATCAGGAAGAGTGTCATATTTTGTATTGGGACAGTTTCGCGGCATGTTGGCGCGTGTTCACTGCTCGATGGTCAGTCACATCCTAACTTAAGACACTCTTCCGGCGCAAGACGGTCGCAGAAACGGCAAAATCTACAGTCACATCAGCGCGTAGCGCGGAAACTATGCTAGTTAGAAATATGTCAGTTTTACTGATTGGTAGATCTCAATGAGAACAGTAATAATACCCTAAAAACACACTTTTAAAAAATTTTGTGTTATGACACTTTTCTGTAACGGGTGCGATATTTGGAATCTCGAAATAGTATATTACATTACGAGTGTGGAAAGTGACATTTTTCACACGAGTGGGAAATATTGTCGCACGAGGCGTAAGCCGAGTGCGACTATCACACGAGTGTGGAAAATCACTTTTCACACAAGTGATGTACAATATTTTTCCTACGACCACAAAATAATTTCATCAAAAAATGTAAAACCAGATTATTATAATAATTAAAATGTATTTAAAAAAATAATCAACAATAATCGTATTTATTAAATTTTCATAATTTCTAAACAAATAAAAAAAAATAAAAAAAAAATAAAAAAAAAATTCTGGCACAGCCAGGATTCGATCGCGGTCGTTGGACGGTCTCAAATTGCAAAGTTGATGCTCTAACCAACTGAGCTAACAGGCCTTACGGTAATTGATTGATCTAATCGCTTATGTGTTTAACCAGAATAAAAAGCAAATATATCTTAGTTATTTTAAAATTATTTTAAAAATAATTGTTAAAGATAAATATTTAGGATCTAATTTACAATAATTTAACAATCATATCGATTTTAGTATTAATATGGACATTACATAGATCAAAATAGAAATTATGTGTTTGACATTTTCTGACAGCTACTGCGGAAAGTAGCATATTCTCACTTGGGTGGAAAGTAAATTCTTATTCATACGCGTGTGATATAGGGCACTTTCCATAGGTCTATATAGTGTGATATGTGTCACTTTCCTAAGTGGTCGTAGGAAAAATAATTTTCAGAATTAATGATCAGAGATCACATTTTAGTATGACAAAGTTAACAAACAGAAAAATAACAGCGAATACAAAACAAATCAGTTACAGACTATTTCTGCAAGACGGTCATCGCTATGTTGATAAATATTAGCGGCTGATAAAATATTTATTTTTACAGTGACATAGTATTTGTTTACTTCCGCAAATCGCTATGGTAATGCATGGCTTTCTTGACCGTTGGCGATAAAATATGGAATCGCTTATCTGCCGAATTCGTTATAAAAAAAGAATGATTGTCAGTCCATCACAAACTGCGTGTACACAATTCTTTATCAGAACAGCAATACAAAATAATGTCGCCTTTTCTAGTAAAAAAAATTCCTAAGTGTTTACATAGATAGTAAATGTGAGCTAAAATACGAATACCAATATTAACAATACTTCCTGTAAAAACTGCATAGTTATTTTACTATTGCACTTCCATCTTTGGCAATACCAAATGTTATGCCCCTCATCGTCTTTGTGATCATAGTAGAGCCGTGTCATCATTGTATTTTTAATATGCCCTGCAATATTCATGTTCGGTGGCAGCTTGTGTGAGGAAGTATCTAGTCGTTTGTAGTTGCCCCTATACGAATAAGTTTTTTTGACTACTGTGCTGTATTTTCGTACGCCCCTACTCTTCCTGTCATCTTCCTACCATCACTTCCCTTTCGACTATCTTGTTCGTTTGCTAGGATTCGTAGTAGTGATAGGCACAATCGAATACTTGGATGATTGAAAATATAATTAATCGAGTATTCGAATCGTATCATTCGAATGATTTATTATATGCCATCATCAATGATTGGGTAGTTCAAGATCCATGTGTCAAAATTTAATATATTGACAGTTAACTATCTAATCAGAACGCAGTACACTAAAGTCCAAAACGTCATACGTCATTATTTATTTTTTTTATTATTATGCAACCGTTTTTGCTTACGACGCCGACGCGCGACTTAATGATTGGAGAGTTTGGGTGGTTCCCCGACTTGACAAATGTCTATCCTGTCAGAACGCGGTACGCTTAAATCGAAGACGCATATGTGTAACAAGAGAAATAAGTAGTTTTGGCGGGCTACTCTACACCATATTTCAACAAGTCGCCTTTAAAAATACTGTTTTCACGTTGTCGTATATTTTTCGTGAACATATTGAGACAGTTCACTTTCTCTCGAGTTTGAAAATAGCTCTCCTGAAGTAACTCTCGTTTGTTTTTTTTTTCTCCTGGGCTTGTCTGATTATGTGTCTCCGAATAACACTGAAGCCTATTGGCTTATTGTGTTTTACCCCATGTTAGTTCATAGCACCCACTCTATCACCTTTGTACCTTGTACAAGTTTGTACAGATCCTTGGGTGAGTGGGTTCTATACGTTATTGGATCAACCTGGGGTTGTCCAAAAAGAGCCTGTCTTTTGCGATCTAGAGCTTCGCATTCGCACAGTATGTGTTTGGCCGTTTCTGGTTTCTTGTGACATAGTCGACACATGAGTTCCCCATTGTACATGCCAATTTTGTTCAAGTGTCCCTTTACTGGGGCGTGCCCAGTTATGAACCCTGTTATCACTTTCAACTGGTTCCTATTCATTAAGAGTAGTTCTCCAGTTCTTTTGGGACATGGTCTGCCTATGAAGGCTTTTCCATGTGCCTGTTTTGGGGTGCTTCCCCAATAGTTGATATGTTGTTCCCGAATCCAGTCATTTATAAAACCCCGGACTGTACTTTTTGGTACTCCTGGGTTTGTGTCTGGTTCCGGTGTTTCTTCTGACCCTCTTTTTGCAAGTTCGTCAGCCTTTTCGTTGCCTTCGATCCCTTTGTGACCTGGCTCCCAAAATAGTTTTACTCTATTACGGTCTGCCAGTGTTCTTAGTTCTTCGATGCATTCCCATACCAGCCTCGACGTAACTTTCTGACTCGATATGGCCTTAAGTGCCGCTTGGCTGTCTGACATTATTTGAATATGCTGATTTTCGACAGCTCTTTTATTGTTCGTTTTTGCACATTGCAAAATTGCGTATACCTCGGCCTGAAATACCGAGGAATGTATTCCTATAGCATAGCTATCGTTTGTTTACTACAGTTTCAGACATTTTAAATGATTCGAATGGTATTGGTATAATTGAATTAATTTGAATGATAGAGTAATAATCGAATATTCGAATAATTCGAATTATCACTTCACTAATTCGTAGAGCCTTAATCTCTCTTTCACCAAGAGGTGTATGGGTAATATTCCCACAAGGATGTACTGCGTGGTAGGATAACGTTTAGTATGCACTTCTAACCCTCAGTTTCATGTTCCGCTGTACACTATCCATCTTTTGTCCTATTTTTATAGCATTTTTCTATATAGGTGCTGAGTATAGCATCGTTGAGTGTATCACGCCGCTCATAAATTCTCTCTCTTTCTGCTTGTAGGGCCACTTACATTTTGGAGCAACAAGGATATACTTTTAACTCCGCTTTCTTATACAGTTGCCTAGATATACGGGCCGAATATTTCATTTATATTGAAGGCAATTCTGTAATGTCTAGGTATTATACCGTTTCCTGTCGTTGCAGCCTTTTTCCTCTGAATCATCTACCTATCTGAACACATAAGATCTGAACGGAACTTAAATATTTCTAAAAATTAAAATTTGTTAGCAAGTCGATGTTTTTATGACATAGGTATCTGAAGTTTTATAAAAAAACTCTTAAATTTGCACTTTTTTGTTGCTCGTTTATTACTTGTGATTTGTATCATTATCGTATGATCAAAGAGAATTTATTATTATTTATATATATTATATTCAAAAAAACTCAAAACGTTTATGATTGGTTCTTGTTTTTCTTTAGCTCACTGACGTCAGACTATTGTGGCGTATTGTTGACGAGTGTGTAATAGACGCGGTAACTGTAATAATTACTGTCAAATAATTTTATTCTGAAAAAGCTGGTGTTACTGCTGTTTGCTACATGTATTGATTTTTTCAGTGTTTAACGCATGAGCTTGATTCGTTTTCAATGTATAAACAAGAACATTACGTTAGGATTCGAATATATACAGGGTGAGCCATTGGTGTATCAAGGTAATAAAGCGGCTTTGCTACCACATATAAAATTAATAAATATAGGTAACAAAACTCGCTAGAATCTAAAATTTGATCGTGATAAAGGTAGTACAAAATTTAACACACTAATGGTGTACCCTGTATTTTGTTTGCTTGTCATTTTATAATAGGTACTGTAGTGACTATTTATATTGTGTTTGATATAGTTGAAAAATTACGAGACTATGATCTGTGTCGTCGATACAAAAGCAATCTCTCGAATCTAAAAAAGTTTTACATTTTGCCTTTTTTTTAGCGACTGCAAACCAAAAAAAAATACAGTGCAAAGTTTCAAAAATGTACCATAATTTTTGAGTTCCTGAAAAGTAGTAATTTTTACATTATTAAACTATACAATTGGAACTGACTGCTGAATAAAATGGGAATCGATGATTTATGTCAACCTAGTAAAATGTTTGTCTAAAGACCCACTAATAATGCCTACTTACAAATACACTCGTCTTAAAAAGTATAGCTTAAGTAGATTCTGACCAAACGTTTTTATTTTCTCCAAAAAATAGCAAGTAATGAAACTTAGGAGTGTTTAATAGTGATTTTTAATTTATTAAAATTAAAAATCAAAGAATAACAGGCAAAAATAATTAAAATAACAATTATAAAAATAAAAAAGTCCAAGGAAGGGGTGGGAGGCTAATGGCCTTAGTAGTCGATGCCGATGTCACCAAATTAAAAAAAAAGTCCAAAGATATTATTTTAGTATTTGGTATTGGCACCTCTGGCTCTAATGACATCCCTCATTCTCTGTAGAAGGCTTCTTATCAGAACCCTTTTGGACTCAAAATTTACATTTTTCCATTCTTATCTTAAACTATTTTCCAGCTGAAGTGATATTACGAGCTCCTATTCGCCTTTCTATGTTCAACTGGGTTTAAGTCTAGACTAATTACTGACCAATCTAAAACTTGAATAGCAATCAACATCTTGAAGTTATTCCATTGCTATTCTAGCAATGTTGCAAGCGAACGTTGTCTTGCATAATAACAAAATTCCCTCTAATAATTGGAATACAGGAGACTATATTTTCCGCAAGAACCTCCCTTCTATACCGATCAATTTTCACTGTTCCTCTTCGAAACATATTATATAATGGAGCCATCTCCCAACATTTCTGGCAGCTCTTATGTTCTACTGAACAAATCGCTCACCTGCGTGTCAATAAACTGTAATACATCTATCAGATCCAAAAAGAGAAAATCTTGACTCATCCGTATAAAGAATATTAGCCTAGTCGTTAATCCTAACCTTAAACGTGCCACACGGTGTGCTCTGGTTAATAATAGAGCAGTAACAGACGTTCTGGTTCTGATTCCAAATTCCTGTATTCTGTTTCTAACCAAATTTGTACATATTCGAACATTACGGATTCTGGAGATAATATTTTGTAGTTATCTGTTATCTGGCTGTAACATGATGCAGACGTAAATGACGGTCATCTACAAGATTGGCAAACCTGGGATATCCTAGAATTGACCTACTATTATAGCCTCAAATTTTTCTTAATCAATTCATTCCCATAACTTTAGCAACATATTACTGCGATCGTCCATCTCCAAGTAGGGCCACGATTTGGACTGCTTGTTATGACTCACACCACATGAATGGAAAAGTAAACAAACGTACTGGACACAAATTTTAAAACACAAATAATAAATATAAAATTTATTTTTTATTCCTTATTTGTTTATTTTTTTTTTCGACAACAGAAACGCTTTAACTTTTGAATAGTATGGGATTTCTACACACCTAAAGAAAATCATACACATTTATTAAAATGTGCTGCTAAAAATGTGTGTTTACTTTTAAACTTTTTTGTTTTTTAAAAAGTTTGCGATACTTTTTGTGACGAGTATATTTATATATTTAATGTAGAACTACTAGTCCTTTTGGCCATATCATTATGGGATCAAACATTCTCTTTTCTTGTCGCAAGTCAATTGCCAGTAATTATTCCATTTATTTTACAAATGACCTTGCAAAAAATGGGTAATAATTTTTAGTGGTTTATACATCTCTATTATTCCAACAAAAAGCTATAAGTAAAAACAGCTACGAAAGTGACTTTTTTGTTTTTTCCTAATAACTGCTTGAGCTATGTATTTTTCTATAACAATGTCTATGTCTATACATAAAATTTCCTAATTTTTATAACCTACCACTAGTTTCGTCGCTACAGGTCTTCGAAAGTAATCGAATTTTCCAGCCTTGGTAGGTGGTACCCGGTTCCACTTTGGCTCGGTAGCGAAGGGAATCTATTTTATTTTATAGTTATAACAAAAAACTTCACTCATTGACTTCTTTTTGATTAAGAAATAGAGATAAATCTTCGATATGACGTTTTTATGGTTTAAAAAATAGACAAGTTGGCACATTATAAAAGAAAACGCCTGAAGATGTGAAAACATGTTTTGAATAAAAATAATGTGCAATTTTTTTATCTTTAATCAATTCAACACTCTCAGGAACATTATATTAGCCACTGAAAATTTCTTTCTCATTTTCTGCAAGGACCGGACAAAATTTTTTAAATATGCTATAATTTTTATATTACTATGTTGAGTTCTAAAATTTGAACCAGAACTGAAAACATATTCACAATACTTATTGGATAACATTGGTATTTATTTTTTGTCTATGCTTCAAGGTTTTTGCTTTACAATATTTAATTACAATAAGATGCTTTATGAGTACCGTACATTTGGAGTACAGCGATTTATAATAGAAATAATAATACAATAACGATGATAACAATTCCTTTTAAACGATGTGACACTCATGATGCTATATTAATTCTCTATTTATTTTTTAGGAATACCTATGAGAGGGGGATAGGCATTTGAGATTTGGGTGTAGCATACAAATATTTCTCATTGAATAAAAAATTGACGTCTCAGTGTTTTATTGTAATTTGTTCAAACATGTCTAAAATTTCAGTAAAAGTTTTCATTAGGCAATCCATTTGGAGAATGAAAAGTAGTATTGTTTTTTCTACACCCACATGGATATTATCTATTCTACACACAGACTACATAACGAAAAACTAGGCCATTGCGTTCTATTAAACGGATTTAATTTCATATACGTTGTAATGAAGACACTAAACGGATATGAAATCCACCAATCACTGTTCATATTTGGTGATCGGGCTACTATTATTTGTCAATATTTTAAATAAGAAACAATCCTTCAAACTAACTGTCAGTATATTTTTTAGTTATCGAAATTAAAAAAAAATAAAAATGAGTGATTCAATAAATAATAGCATTTCCCAAGATATTCGTCTATTTGTGTAGCAGAGAGAGTAGAGTTAAAAATGCAACTTAGAACTGAAATGGCTAAGTTAAAAAGAAGAATTTGTAGCCAAGCTTCAGTAAGCTGAAAACACTACCTCGTCTTCATCTGTAACCGAATCAAGCCACATTTAAAACCCAGTTTCACAAAACCATACTAGCAAGACCATTTAGCCACCCTCGTTTGACGGTCAGCTAGAGCCAATGGCTAGGTCGAAAAAGAGATGGCGGCTTCATTGATAGTGTCTGTCGCTGCGAGGTCAGCCAGCAACCGTTTTACAGTTACTTCCCCAAGGGGAACCCAGTTATTCGTTTCTCGTCCAAGCCTTGGAGACAAGGTATGGCCAGCATTATTTGAAATGGGTATTCCGAAGCCAGCTAAAGGTTTGTAGTCAGAAACATAATGAGAGTCTACAGGAATTCGAGGCCGATGTAAAAAGATCTAGCCTATCCTCAGGCGCCCAAAGATTTCCAAAAACAAATTGGCATGCATGCATTCATTGATGGACTACAAGATGTAGATATGCAGCAAGCTCTTCGGCTACAACACCACAAGATGCTGAGGGAGAAACTGATTGCCGTCCAGGAATATAAAGCAGCAAAACTTATATCTAGGCCTACTCGTGCAAAAGTGAGAGCAATTAGATTCCAGGAAAGTGAAGAGGCCTATACTAATACTACCTCACAACCTACTCTCTAACAAATGCAACATAATGCAAAATATGCAACAAAACAGCCAAAATAAATGCAGGAGATGCTTTAATTGCGGAAAAATCGGAGACCTTTAAAGAACCTGTAGAAGCAGGGCTCGTTCTATAAATCGATAATCAGGAAATGAGGCCAGAAACTCACATAGATCAATCTCTCGAAGCCCGTCACAAAGTCCAACAAATAATAATTAAAGTAGATATGCGCCCCGGAGAAGCCTATCACCCACAACCTACCTGGCTTTTTAGTAATTACCAGGAAGTAAAGCATTCATAGCAACGCAGAAATTTTCTCCAAGCGACCCTGGTTAGAACGACAATGCCGGTACTGTAAAAAACTCGAAAAACGAGAGGAACCGCTATTAAGCCAGAGGGTGACGAAGAGGAAATCACCCTTGAAAGCCTGAGAAAAGGGCAAAAGAAAGACAATGACTTGAAGGTTCTCCGAGAATGGCTCAACGATAAAGTTAGACCGACTTGGAAAGAGATAGCCAGATATAGTGGAACTATTAAAGGGTACTGTATCTTCACGATGACCTATTGCACCGGAAGTGGGAGGGCACCGATGAAGAACATGTAGTACCACCGAAATCACAAGTCAGAAATGTATTGGAGGAGCTTCATAGCAGCCGTTCAGGAGGACATTTTGGTACTAAATGAGGACACTGACACGAGTTTGGGAAAGATTTTATTGAATCAATTGCCAACGGGATATAGAAGATTGGTGTAAGAAATATGATTTATGCAATGGCAGGAAAGAGCCCAAAGCAAGAAGCTGAGGTAAAATGGCACAGTACCTTTCCGGAGAGCTTTTCGAATAAGTTGCCATAGATATCCTTGGACCACTTTCCTTAACAGAAAAGGGAAAGAAATACTTGATGGTTGCTATGGACTATTTTTCAAAGTGGCCCGAAATTGCGCCTATTTCTAATCAGGAAGTGACGACAGTAGCAAAAGCATTTATGACAAACGTCATAGCGAGACATGGAGTCCCTCTGGAATTGCATTCTTACCAAGGAACGAAATTGTGAATCCAAATTATGGCAAGAATTGATGAAACTGTTCGGCATCAGAAAAACTTGCAATACGCCTCTTCACCCTCAATCCAACGGAATAGTAAACAGACACCATAGAACCATATGCCAGTATCTTTCAATGTTCGTCTCTGAAAATCGAAAGGACTGGGACACTTTAATTTCTCTATTCCTAGTAGCCTACCGAAGTTCTAAACATGAATCAAGCAGTTATACTCCATCAATGATGATTATTGGAAGCAAGATAAAGCTTCCCCATGATCCTTTTTGGAAGGCAGCTTCCTGGTGAAGAAGAGGGCCGTACACCTCCGATGTACATACAGAACTTAAGTGTGCCATCCTTTCTAAGATGTAAAGCTGTCGGTCTTCAATCCATGGTTGTTAAAGATCCCTACCGCTAGTTAGAACACCAGGGGATTCGGCTAAATTTCTGGTAATTGGGGGTAGTGCCCTCATCTGCGTCGGTGTTTAAACACCGAAGTTAGAAATAGGCCGACTTTAAATAAATTATTTAAAAAAAAAGAGTCAAGTCGCAATGCGCTCTCAATAAATGGTAATTCACGACTTGCGAGAAACGTCAGTTTAATTATGAAAATGGACCGTTGGCCCAATATTTAATGTTCTTTTGCTGTTGAAGATTATTATTTCAAAAATAACAATTCTATTGTAACCACCCAGCGTCTATTTCTTCGTGTAACAATACTAAAGTGGGTATATAAGTTTCGAAGGTACTGTTTCAACCGCCAGACAAAAACCAAAAGAAAGAGGTCGTTCTGTAAGAACAACATTGGCTAATTCTGAAAGGGTAAGGGCATCTGCGCTACAATATTCTAAACAGTCGGGCAAACGATAAGCATTAGCGCTCAATATTTCGAAAATTCTGAAAGGCTTACACTTCCATCCCTACAAAATTCAAATCATACAAAATCTTTTACTCCGTGAAATTGGAATGCGTCTTGACTTTTACGAGCGATTCGAAGGGATAATTGCTAAAAAATCACCTTGCTGATGTCAGACGAAGCTCATTTTAACCTTTTAGGTTTTGCTAACAAACAAAATTTTGGTTACTGGACAACACGAAGTCTCTTTCGCTTCATAGCGGGAAAGTTACTCTTTGGCGTGCAGTATCTGCCTTTGGATTGACTGTTACTGTAACCACAACGTTATCAACATGTATTGCAAAATTTTGACCTACTT